AGGAATGTATGCGACTTGATGGACCGAAACATTCCCATTCAGATTTTAATTTATTTTATTAACATTGCCATTTTTATCTTTTTTCACGATCCTTTATAATTATAAACCATACAAATTTCAATTTTAAAATAAAAAACATCCTGGACTTGAAAATAATTACATCAAAACCGCCCAGGCGATCGGTAATACGGGTCCCAGTATATACTTTTTTGTTGCGCATCAGCAAGTAGTTTAGAGCAAAAATTTGGTCCCGGCCACTGCAATCACTTCGAAACGCAGCTCGCTTCCTTAGCTCAAGTTCATTGAGAAGTCTTGTTAAAAATCCCCAACAAATCTTCGTGAAGAGCTAGTAAATACCAGACGGTATGCTAGTCAGGCAGCAATTTTTCAACTTTCCCTATTGTCCTTCTGTGCATGAAAACAGCTTCGACTCTCTCCAACACCAGGTATCCTTCTTTCGGCCAAGTGCCAACTGAATCGAGAATATGAAAACACGCAGAGGTACAAAATGAAAAAATAAGAATTATGAACCTTTCTGCTGCAGTTTCAACAAGTTTCACCAAATCAGTAGCATCACATGCTATAGAACCATGAACGTCAGCAAAAGCTGCGCAAGAATTTTTCTTCTCGAAACCCAACTGAAAAAAAATTGAACAGAAATTAGTTTGTCGCGAAAGCAGCCGTTTTCAAAAATCGTCCTGGACCGGGGGGGAATCGAACCACTTCTCTTCATGTTCTGACGCAATGTGTTACCACTACACCAGCGGTACTTATGCTCCAAGTTCAGCCTGGCAGCACATCTACTGTGTATCCGCCTTTCAAGGCAAGACACACACGCCCTTCACTTTCCTTTCTGGAGGATTTTTAGACGCCTTTTCGCGGTTTTTTCACGTCTCAGTTTGCTACTTTAATGTTTTTGCACGAATCAAATGTTCCTCTATTGCTATGTTTGTACGTATTGGCCTTATATGTGGATATTTGCGTACGTATTCCAAGTATTCGAAGTCAACATCGAAAGCAAGTACCGGTATAACTAACCGAAAAAATCACCAGCATCAAATTCATCAATTAACAATTAGCTATCATGTCATCAATTTATCAGTGAAATGAATTAACAAACTACAAAAAAACTACTTTTCCCAACCACGAATTCAAATCATCCGTTGTCAGATCAACTATCCAGGCACGATGCGTGTGAAGCACAGAAAAAATAGCCAATTTCAAATTCAGGTTGTTACCTCTTGAAAGAGCTGCACAGCTGGCGAATGAGCACGTAAAGATAGTGAAAATTTGAGCAAATTTACACGCGGCTCTTCTAGTAGACCAGCCGCTAAACGTATCGCCAAATCATGTTGTTTGGCATCACTGTCTGAAAAAAAAAAAAAAAGAAAAAAATTTTTAGTGAAATTTTGTAGTGAAATTTACTAGTAAAATTTTTTTAATGAAAATTTTTTGATCGAAAATTTTTTTTAGCAAGGCTTTTTTAGTGAAATTTAGTAAAAAAAAATATATCACTAAAATTGGAATATTTTTAGTGAAATTGAAAGAAAAATAATGAATTACAGACGATCCGAGTATGCTAAATATGTATTGCTAACAAATGCAGTGGTTACTGATCAAAAATTCATAAATTTTAGATGACTTCTAGGTGCTTCAAGAAATTGAAACTCGAAGAATTTATATTTTTATGAAAAAAGTTTATCACAAAACTCACATGTACTCCATTCATCAACATTAATTTTTTCAGCTATCGCATCGAGATACCTCCAGAACAAAACATCTCCTTCCTGCGCAATGAATTCACTGCAAAAAGACGGGTAGTTACGTATACTGATTCTTGAAAAACCGAAAATGAAGCGAAATGAATCAAAACTAAACCATAAATAATGTGAAATACCAAAAGACAGGTAAAAAACACATATATTTAATGAAAATGTAAAAAAGCAATCTCTCTGCCTTGTAACTTTTGTAGGACTCGAGATAAAAAATCGGTACAGACGAACCCACAAATACTCATATACAGTACAGACAATTCCTTGACAATATGGGTTTTTGCATTGCATAGACGCAAAAAACGAAAAGAAACTATCCACGTTTTGTACGCGTTTTCTACTGCTTAAAAAATGGATAATAATTTGATGCTTTTCATGATAATTTCACGATTTTCATGATAATTTCATGACTTGCACAGTAATTCTATGATTTTCATGACAATTTCATGAAATTGTATAAATAATTTTAAAACCTGGTTTCAGCAATAAATGAGGTATGAGGCCATTTTGCACGTAGCGAGGTGATCACTGATTTTTTACTCCGCAAAGTATCAGCACCTTTGAGCAGTGCTGTTGATAAAATAATGAATATCCATAGTTTTTCCATACCCTTTCCTGAAATTATAACTTAAATTTCAACAGGCGAGCAAAAAAAAAAAAAATGAACGCGTTAGAGCAGCTGAATTTCGTAAAAACACAACAACAGATACTTCGATACTTTGATAATCTATTGTTTCATCGTCTCGATACTTCTGGCTATTGATGCAGCTAGCAAACTCCGCCATTCTTCTCATACAACGGATATGAGGCTGTACTGATGATTCCCACTTCTACCAACACACTCCATTCGGTGTATAATTGAAATTACTGGGTAAGGGGGGAAATGCTTCCCAAAATGCCTCAGTTGCAAATGATATTTGGATTGATCGCTTATTTTCTATTCCAATCATAGACAGGGATCCAGGATGAACTCCAAATTATGGATAAGGCCGCCCCATATTTTCCACGGTTCAGACTAGCCAT